TTCCAGGTAACAAAGTAATTATGCTGAAATTTGGGGCATGAGATGAATATCTGTATAATTTTAAAACCAGCAACAGAGGAACACCACAAAGGAAATGCAAAAACATTCAAGGAATATTAGCCAAACAAACAAACAAACACACACGGAGGTAATACAATAGAGTATGAAAATAGAGGATGGACGCATAATAGGTCACAGGAAAAAAAAAGACGGTTGTCTCACTGAAGTGGAAGTTTTTCCATTGATTCCAATAATAACATTTTAACATAAAGAAGTATTTTCATATTCTATATTAGGGCTGTATAGCACTTTTAGTATCTGTAGTGTAATTTGTTGTCCAGAAGACTCAGAATATAGAGACCCTTAGCACATGCCTAATTACAGCGGTACCTTGCTAGAAGATTGCCTCACAGAATGAGGAAATCGCTAGACAATGACTTTTTGCAAGCGCTATAGCGCTTCGCAAACCGGCTTTCCCTATGGGTGATTTTCGCTGGACGATGATTCAGTCTGTGCTTCACAAGACACTTTTTTTGCGGACCTATTTTTCGCTGGATGATGATTTTGACAGCTTTGCTAAACGGGTGTTTTCAGCCCCATTGTTCGCTAGATGCCGATCTAAACACAGTCTGTGCTTCACAAGACACTTTTTTTGGGGACCTATTTTTCATTGGACGATGATTTTGACAGCTTCGCTAAACGGGTGTTTTCGGCCCCATTGTTTGCTAGACGCCGATCTAAACAGCTGATCGGCGGTTCGCAAAGCAGCTTTCCTATGGGCAATCTTCGCTGGATGATGACGACCCTTCCCCATTGGAACACATTAAATGGAGTTCAATGCATTCCATGGGGAATGGTGCTTCGCTAAACGATGTTTTCACAAGATAGTGATTTTGACAGAACAAACATCGTTTAGCGAGGCACCACTGTATATTAAATATTAAGAGAGAAGAGATTATAACTGGCTCAATGAATGTATGCTGTGCACTATCAAATATATTGTGATCAAGAAAACAGCAATTCTTTATCTATCCCTCATTTTTATGCATCAGTTTCACTGAAGTAGTTGTGCCATACAATCATACCATACTAGCATCCTTTTTATATCTGCCACTGCCAAAAAAAACCTCCAATAAAATGTAGTTTTTCTACCATCAGCTTCACTGAAACTTTAACATGACTGACTAGAATTGGATTTAAGCCAACTTTAGGAAAACTGAGGTCAAAATAGAATTTCCTAAATATATTATTATAACTTTCCATCATCTGCTATATACATATTATCTTGTATCTAAAATTATCTACAACATTTATAATGCAGTGCAATGGCATTAGATTTCCAGGTGAAATCTCACACCATTGCATCTCCTGAGGAATCCCATTTTACGTTCTGAAGCCTGCTTCCTCCACTATATTTCAGAATAATGTGCAATTTGCACAGAGTTAAAATCAAGACATTCCCTTTCCCCCAATTCATTTTTGTGACATCTTCCCTAATGGAAAGATGGTAATCTTGAAAACCTGCATATTCTTTTATGTCTTTTTTGATCAGCCCCAATATGGACTCAGGAATTTGTTTTGTGCCAACTTGACTACCACCGCTTTAGTATTAAGTTGGTGCATGACATGTCTTAATCACAAGCACAATGGAAAAAGTATGTTGCCAGCTGATTTGAAAGGGGTTTGGCTTTGGCCAAAGTAATGGGACAAAGCCATACATTTGGTTCCTAAATTTTACAGTGGGAGGTCTCATGGCTGAAAAGACAAGCTACACTTCTTCAGTAGTGGAAACGTCCGTCATAAAACTTTGGCTGCCCATACATTTTGTTTCTCTTCTTTAGATTGCAGACTTCCCTTTACAGTACCTTGGTTTCCTATGCCCTCAAAAAATTTACCCCCAAATCAAGGGCCTCCATACAGTAGCAATCAACACAGTGTGAGAAGGTGCAGCCAGAAGAAAACATGATGAATTCCCCACAACACACAAACACAGAGAAGCATATTAAGCTTCTGAAAGGAAACTGAAAGGATTCTGGCCATTGTGCGAAAGTGAGCACCAATGGGATTTACTTTGGTGAAACGCATTTAATGTCTGAAAACTAGTGCTGATGATCCCAATTCCACTGATTTTCAGGCATTAAAAGTTTCCCCTCCCATTCCACAGCTCCCAAAGGCTTCCCCAGGATGAAGGGTAATCCTAGGGCTGCCCAGAACACGGGGGAGCGATAGGAAGCTTTTAATTCCCTCAAAGCAGGCATGGCTGATGATGTCATCATAGCCGTGTGGTTTACACTGCACAAGATGCCAGTCAGAGCATCATGCTCTTGCACCTCTATTATGGAAGAGTTTAACATATTATAGCCTTTCTTCTTCAGAGCAGCTTTCCAAGATTAGCCTCAGTGGTTGCATATGGCGTCTCAGCCAATTAATGAAAGATCCCACACATAATTGCCCCAATATAGATTTAGTGGACGCAAAATTTTTGGAATGGAAATATGCTGCAAGTACGTACTGCCTATATATGCAACATTTTGACAAATACTAGAAACTATTTTGCTATTTGATTTTTTTCAGGATCTCAAATTTATTCGCTTAGAACATTTATATCTTACTATTGTCACAGGCTGAGAATTTTTCACAGGATAAACCCTATACTGGATGGACAATTGCTCATGATTTCAAGGGTTTTTTTTCTACCTTGTATCCTTGATAAAAGACACTCACATATATAGTGCAAGTGAGGCACAGAGAGGTTACACACGTCCTCTAATTTAAATGTAAAGCCGGCATTTGCTTCAATATATACTGGATTTAAAACCAACTGCCATTCACTTTCTGCCCACAAAGCCCTTGAGCATGCTGAAGGAGTACATTAGTTACTAGTCTTATCAATGGTCTTCTTGTGATCAGGAAGGTCTGACTCAGATACACATGTTCATCACTTCACTAACATAAGTGCAATTTTTGTATTCAACTGAATACAAAACTATCAACTAGCAATACTGCCTTCAGATCCTCAGTCACAGATGTTTGGACAGTATATTGTTTGATTTCTCTACACCTTGTGACAGACAGCCGAGCTCAATATACATGATTATAGAGAATGACAGTTCATCAGCTTCCGGACTGGGCACAGTATCTTGCTATATATTAAAAAAAGGGGGGGGGGGGGTCAAAAGGAAAAACAGTGTTCAGTCCTTTCTCTCCTGGCTGCTCCTTCCCTGAAATTGTCTTCAGATGATTTTATGTTCTAGTGTTCCTTCCAGAGCCATATTTATCTCCCCATCACTAGTCTGGAACTCTGTAAGGGAAACATCTGAGAAGAAAGTACTATGGAAAAACAGCTATCTAGGGAGGGGGTTGGACAGCACCTTATTGCATTCTGTAGTGAAGAGGACACTGAAATATTGTTGAGTGTCACTACAAAGCAATATGTGGCTTGGCTTAAATATGTGAAACAAGGACCAAACTAGATGTGGTACAAGGTATCTGAGATCTGATTTCTCGGTTTAATTCTTTTTTTTGGCTACAAGCAGCTATGAGAGACCTGATTTGGAGTGAGACCACTGTGGCAGGGGTGGCGTGGGGGTGGGGAAGTATTCTTCCTCCATGCAATGTCTCTGTGCAAAGTAATTGGCTCTCCAAAGCTCCTACGTTGGCCACAACAACCTCTGATATGGAGACAAAACAGTATTGCTAGTTGATAGTTTAAATGATCTGCAAAGACTATTCAGTTAAGAAAAACATGCTCAAGGTAAAAACCAAGAAAAACACTTAAGGATGCATAGTGTGCAAGTGTGGCAAATATAATGATCTTGAAATGAATAACTGGTGGGATTATAGCTACACAAAGTCGAAACGCAGATGGCCCTGAGCATGTAAAATGTCTAACAAGAACTTAAAATAACTTTGAGAATGCACATATAGTGCTATGTATTCTCAATAGGACTGTAGGACATGGAATCATGGACTTTAACACAGGCAAGTATAAAAAGGAAGGATCTAAAGCATGGATTTATCACAGAATGCTAAGAATTTCCTGCATCAAGAGGACCACTAACCAAGAGGGAGTAAAGCAAATAAGTGAAGACAAAGAAATCATAAAACATGTAAAATACAAGAAGCTAGAATACTTTTGACCACCTCACTCGGCATCAAAAGCCCTGGTTGTTACCGCTGATCATGCAAGGACAACAGGGAAAGACTTATGGGAAAAACCTGATAGCTAAAGAACCTGGAAGATCTACAGAAAAAAGTATTTCAGACAAAACCAAAGTAAAAAAATAAATAAATAAAGAAGACAAAAACATTGTGACACCTTAAAAACTAATTGCTATGTTTTAATGTGAGCTTTTGTGGACAAGACAATTTCTTTAGACTTGGGGGGGGGAAGCACTGCAGACTGTACTGAGCTTATTTTTGTAATCCCCCCCCCGTTTTAATCTTGTACAGGGAACAGCAGTTTATTCTGATTTTCACAGTACATACTATTTTATTCTCCCAACAAATCTGTAGGAGAGATGCACTAACTAATCCATTTTGGTATTTTTGTAGCAGAACTACCTCCAACTCCACCACCTGGATGGACTCTCAAGAGGATGTATGTGCACCGTGTACATTCTGACAGGCAGGGTGCACTGGGTTTCCATCGCCTGAGGACCAACCTATCTTAACTACTGAGAGGTTTGCAAGTTGTCACTAAAAAGACGACCTCCGAGTGGCAAACGTGGCCTTGACAACTACGCAGAGAACAGTGACATTACAGATTTCCGGACCATTATGGTCCTTTCGGCTGAGATCCCGAGTCTCGGCCAAGTTACCCAGCAAACTTCCACGTCTCAGCAGCATCAGCACAGATCTTGAACCGAGATCTCCCAAGTCCTCATCCATCGCCCTTGAACCACACCGGCTTCCTAAAACCCGCGGTTCGGGGCCGCGAGTTGCGAAGCCAAGTCGCTTCGGAGTGGTGAAGCGGAGTCCCCGCGAAGCCAAGCACTCACCGCCGCTTGCTGGAAGGCGCCCTTGGTGTAGGTGCCGCCCCCTCGGTAGCCGATGGCCGGGATCTCCCGGCTCAGCAGAGCGCACTTGTGCTGCGGCGGCGGCGGCGGCCGGGCCGGCGGGGAGATGTAGTCCACCCGGGGCACCACATGGGTCTTGGACGAGAAGGTGACGATGGCGACGCGCGTGGCCGTGGGCACCACCGGGAAGTCGGAGAGCAGCTTCTTGACGAAGCGCAGCTCGCTGAGGAAGTTGGCTTGGCCCACGCTCGACGACTCGTCCACCAGGAAGACCNGAGAGGAGAGGGGCGGCGGAGGTGCCCAGCCCCACACCAGGGACACGCCGCCCCACAAGTACGCGCCCAGAAGGGGCCACATCGCTCGAAGGCGGCGAGGAGACGCCTGGTGGCCCTTGCTTGCCCTGGGCGACCTGTGCCCCCTAACCCGACGGGGCCCCCCAACACACACACCCACACCCCCCTCAGCAGCGGTCTGCGTTTGCCCCGGAGTCGTGGGGGTGCCCAGCCCCACACCAGGGACACGCCGCCCCACAAGTACGCGCCCAGAAGGGGCCACATCGCTCGAAGGCGGCGAGGAGACGCCTGGTGGCCCTTGCTTGCCCTGGGCGACCTGTGCCCCCTAACCCGACGGGGCCCCCCAACACACACACCCACACCCCCCTCAGCAGCGGTCTGCGTTTGCCCCGGAGTCGTGGGGACCAAGCGCACCAAACGAGCTACGCGTCCCTCCTTTGGCGCGCACGTGGAGCGAGAGTCTCTCTCCCTCAGTCTCCACACACACTCGCGCGCTTCGCCTCCGTTCAGCGTCTTCGCTAGAAATGAAACTCTGGCTCGCCGCCGCCCCTCGCAAGCCCTCCCTCGAAGTGTTTTGAAAGAAAAAAGGGGGGGAGAGAATTCTACTCGAGATATGAATGTCTTCCCTCCTTCCCCCCACCTTCTCTCTCTCACACACACACGCGCGCACACACGCTCTCTCGCTCTCTCTCGTTCTCTGTGCTGAAGTTGTTGCTGACTTAGATTCCTTGTCACCACCAGAGCCCCTCCGGTGTCTGCCAGGCTGTCAACATTCCCCGCGCAAACACATCGGCACCGTGGCTTAAGCTCTGATTGATCCCATATGTCTGGCAGGCAGCACCTGACGGAGGAAGGGAGCGGGAGCGGGAGCGGGAGGGGAGGGGACGCGACCAGAGGAAGGATGGTCGGGTCCAGATACCAGGAGAGCCGCGGTAATTGGAGACACTGTGGACAACAATAACGAGGGACGGGGAGGGTGGGTGCGAGCGAGCGAGCGGGCCGGCGCTTGGTGAGGGGAATTCCACCTCCTGCCTTTTGGAGATCTTCTCATACTCTGATGTTTTCGAGGGTCCGTGGTTTTAAAAGAAGGTAACTCTGTTTTCCCGAGACATCGTGTCTCCCTCAGTTCAGTTCAATGGTTAACGAAAAGGATTTTAACAACTCTACAGAAGACGTGTGGTTTCTCTTCTTTTTCGTTTCTTTTGGAAAGCTGCATTAAAATCGTCAGTACTCTGTCCCTGCTCCGTTTTATTCTTTCTTGCTTTTTGTCTTTGCCTGAAAACCTGTATGCAGTACCAGCACTTAGTCTGAAAACATATCAAACATTAAGAAAGATGCGAATACATCTTTGTGCATACACCCCACTGAGTGACTGCCAGCAGTCAATTCTAGCACGTTTGGGAACGAGAGAACTCCTGATCCAGTGTTGTTATATATGTTGTTATCTGACATCAAGTCACGTCCAACTTAATGTCTACTCTAACAGGGTTTTCGAGCTACGTGATATATTTAAAGAGTGGTTTAACCATTGCCACCCCTAGCCAGGGAATTTCCATGATGGAGCAGGAATTTGAACTCCGATCTCCTAAGTCCTAGTTGCTCACTCCGTCCGCTACATCACAATAGCTCTTGTGTTGTTACAGAATAAGAACAATAATTGTGTGCCATCAAGTTGATTCTGACTTATGCTGACCCTTTTAAAGGGTTTTCTCGATAGATACTCAAAATACTCAGGATACTGTATTTTCCCATTCCCTTATTCTGGGGGCACCTGGTGCTATGCGGCTTGTCCAAGGCCACAGAAGCTGTTATTATATAGCTATGCTCAAGCAACACTTCTTTCAGAAATTGGGTAATTCAGAAGTGCAGAAAGTAAGGGCATGGTGTCTACAAAGTGAACGTCCAGAAGGGTAGGGTGCAAATAGTCCAGTGTGGTGTAGTGTATATACTGGGCCACAGAAGCTGTTATTATATAGCTATGGTCAAGCAACACTTCTTTCAGAAACTGGGTAATTCAGAAGTGCAGAAAGTAGGGCATGGTGTCTACAAAGTGAACTTCCAGAAGGGTAGGGTGCAAATAGTCCAATGTGGTAGTGTATATACTGTAGAACAGACCTGGGCAAAGTGCGGCCCAAGGGTCACATACAGCCCACGAGCCACCCCTGTCCGGCCAGCGGACAGTTTTGAACATCAAAACCATTTATAGTTTTTGTCTAAAGTTGATTGGTTGCTTATCTTTAACATACTGCAAAAAACCTCTTTAGTATTTGTGAAGATTAACAAGTTTAAAATAAAAACAATCATAGCATCACTGTTTCATTTTCAAGTAAAGTTGTTTCGGCCCCCGAACACAGTTCAGATTTTTCATGTGGCCCTCCTATAGAAATTAATTGCCCACCCCTGCTGTAGAACAAGGACCAGGGCTCATACAGCCTTGTGGGTAGGGAACTGGTAAAACTACTTCTTATATATCCTAATTCTCTTTAAACCCCTATTAGGGTTGCTATAAGTCAGTTTTGACTTGCTGGCACATAACAACAGAGTGCAAATACAAGCACAATGAGTCTGCTTCTGGAGGGATGTATTCTTGTGAGAGGGAAAATTGTTTGTGTGTGTGTGTGTGTGTGTGTGTGTGAGAGAGAGAGAGAGAGAGAGAGAGAGCACTGCTACTGGAATTGTTCAGGGCGGGGGGGATATGGTGGGGGATGTCAATCACAGCATAATGTGAGAGAGAAGGGGGAAAGGGTATTGATTGCCCCTAAGCTCTCCCCCAATTTTAAAAAGCTTGGATAGCCTTGGTGGCAGGCCCTCTAGGTTGAAGATGCTGCTGCTAAATACCAGATCAGTAGATGGAAAAACAACAGCCATCCAGGACTTGATCCTGGATGAGCAGACTGATCTGGTTCCTATAACAGGAACTTGGTTGGATGAGGCTGGTAGTCTCAATCTCACCCAGATTTGTCCACCAGGTTTCTCTGTGCAGAAGTAAGCAAGACTTGAGTGGTGGCGAGGTGGAGTTGCAGGTAGTCTTATCATTATACGTTCCCCTTCACCAGGTGCAACGTCCCCCAGTTTTCCGGGTTTGAATGTGTGCATTTGAAAGTGGGAACCCTGGGAAAGAACAGGGATTCTGTTGGTGTTCCGCCCACCCCACTGCTCAACATTCTCCCTGCCTGAGCTAGCTGACCTGGACTTGACTGTGGTGTTAGAGTCCCCTTAGCTTGTTGTGCTGGGGGACTTCAGCATCCATGCCAAGGCAGGTTTGTCAGGAGAGGCTCAGGACTTCATGCCCTCCATGACAACCATGGGTCTGTTTCAAAATGGTATCTGTCCCCACTCATGCTTCAGGGCACAATTTGGACCTGTTTTTCTACACTGGGGTAGATGCTGGTGGTCTGGGTGTGGAGGAACTCTCTGTAATTCCATTGTCATGGACAGATAATCATCTGGTGGAGTTAAGACTGACTGGAATGCTGAGTCTCTGCAGGGGTGGGATACTGATTAGGATGGTTCGCCCCAGAAGGCTGATGGATACAAATAGTTTCCTGACAGCTCTTGGGGAGTTTCCTGTCACCTCCACAGGTAATTCTGCTGAAGCCCTAGTTGATCTCCTAAGCATCCCCTCCCATGAAGCAGAGTCAAACTGGCTCCCTGGTGTAAAGCTGGTGGTAATGAAACAAGTGGGATGAAGACTAGAGTGATGATAGCAGAAAATTTGGAATGAATCCAACCGAACATGGGCAGCGGTGGCAGCAAAGAAGTCATTCTTTTCTGCCACCATGACACAATGCAAAGAGTGTAGCCAGCTGAGCTCTTTCAAGTAGTCAAGGGACTATAACACGGCAGCCTCCAGGAAGAGAATGTAGACCACGCTAGAGCTTGCTGTGAGGAATTTGCACAGCACTTTAAAAAAAATCACTCCGCTCCGCTCTGGGTTGGATACTATCGTTAATACAGGTCCTGTAGATGTAACCACAACTCCTGCTTGTCCTGTATTAATGGGTGGGTTTCAAGTTTTGCAGCTTGATGATGTCGATAGGACCTTTGGAAAAGTGAAGGCCACCACTTGCGTACTGAACCCTTGCCCCTTCTGGCTTGTAAAAGCTTCCAGAGAGGGACTGGCCAAGTGGGTCCAAGGGGTTATGAATGCCTTCTTGTAGCAGAGTAGACTTTTGGTATGCTTTAAGGAGGCAGTAGTAAGACCATTATTGAAAAAACCCTCCTTGGACCCCATAATACTGGATAATTATTGGCCAGTCTCGAATATCCCATTCTTGGGCAAGGCGCTGGAGTGGGCTGTGGCTTCTCAGCTCCAGGGATTCCTGGACAGGACAGATTATGTAGATCCATTTTAGTCTGGCTCCAAGCCTGGTTATGGGACAGAGACTGCTTTGGTCACCTTGGTAAATGATCTATGCTGGGAACTGGACGGTGGGAGTGTGTCCTGTAAGTTCTGCTGGACCTTTCAGTAGTTTTTAATATCATTGACCATGGTATCCTTCTGGATCATCTCTCTGGGATGGGACTTGGAGGTAATGTTTTGCAATGGCTCTGGTCCTTCCTGGAGGGGAGAATCCAGAGGATGGTGCTGGGGGACTCTTGTTTGACACCTTGGCCTTTAGCCTGTGGTGTTCCCCAGGGATCTACTTTGACCCCTAAGCTATTTAATATCTACATGAAACCACTGGGAGAGGTTGTCTGGAGTTTTGGAGTTTGGTGTCACCAGTACGCTTTCTCTCCTTTCCAAGGAAGCTGTCTTGGGTCTAAATCAGTGTCTGGTGAATATACTGGATGAGGGTGGATAAACTGAAATTTAATCCAGACAAGACAGAGGTGCTCCTGGTCAGTCAAAAACCAGATCAAGGAGTAGGGTTGCAGCCTGTGCTGGATGGGGTTACATTCCCTTTGAAAACAGAGGCACACAGCTTGGGGGTGATCCTGGATTCATCCCTGAGCCTGGATGCCCAGGTTTCAGTGGTGGCCAGGAGTGCCTTTGCACAGTTAAAACTAGTGAACCATCTGCTCCCATTTCTTGGGAGGTCCGATTTGATCATGGTGACACAT